CTTTGAATATTGCTGTCACATATAGCCCGGTGCTTATGGCGTATATTTTAGAGATTCTTGATAAAATTCAAAGAAGAATCAGCAATATTATTGGTCCTGACCTGGCGTCTCGGCTTCAGTCACTTTCCAACTGCCGTAATGTAGCTTTCTTGTGACTTTTCTGTAAATGCTTTCATGATAATTGTTCTGATGAACTATATTACCTCACCTTAATGAATCTAAGTACAGTACTTGATTGGTCATAAGGTCTCATTAATTCACAGTTAAATTGGCTAGATGTAACCACAACTTCCATGCTAACAGTTTCTTTTCTCGCACTTCTCGCTTGTAGAACTCTTTTCCGGATCCATGTTTTCCAACCAACTTTGATCTTCAAAAATTTAAATGAAATGTCAATCGTTATCTACTGTCTTCTTGATTACTCTTCTATTGTTCTCGCTCCTTAATAATGTTTCTGTTTTTTGGGGGTTTTTTTTGTTGTTGTTTTTTCTTCTTTTTCACTCTCATTAACCCCTTGTGACTTAATTGCTCCATTGCCTTGCATGGTGTGATATGATTTTGAAATAAACAAACTTCAACAGCGTTGAACCTGATCCGTTTTGGATCAGTGACCTTTCAAGATCGTACTTACATCAACTTATAGTCTTTTACCAGACTAAGTAAAGCGTTGTAAATAGCACTGACATCACAGATGAAGAAGAGACTTGAAGCAACAGAAATGTGGTTCTACAGAAGGATGCTGAGAGTACTAAACATGTGATCAACGATGAAGTTTTAGAGAAAATAGAAACAAACAGGACACTTTTACGTAATATCAGGAACCGACAGTACAACTTTCTAGGACACATAATGAGGAAAGAGAGCTTAGAAAATTTTATACTCACAGGGAAAATTGAAGACAAAAGAGACAGAAGAAAACAATACATTGAGAACTTGAATAAAGGGATGGTGGAAAATGGTTTAAGAGAAATAGCACAAAGACAAACTTTATTAAGAGCTACAAGAAATTGTGGAGAGCCACGATCATTGACGTACTGAAGAGTCACGACACATAGAAGAAGAAGAAAATAATGAAAAATGAAACACTGAAGGTTATTCATATTTGTTGAGTTCTCCACTTCTTATCACATCAGCTGGCTTTCACTGAAGATCAAGTGACAGCAAGTTCCCTCAAGCACAGTGCTTAGAATTTTAATTGATTTTAATAATTCTTACCCATTAATGATGTCAGTTTATTTGTTTTCCATGGATTTCCAATTCTTCACATCTGCTTTATAAGGCTCTTCAAGATTATTTAATAATGAGTACAAATATCTTCTTCATATTTCTTTTTTTTTTTTTACAATGTTTTTTGGTCATTCCCAGATATTTTCCCAGCTTTTACTTTCAGATGCACTTTGTGGTTTGCCGTTACATCTATATAAGCGATTGGGCAGATCTTCTTTTCGTCGTTTACGATGACTAGAATTGATCTACTTTGGAATGGGAGATCCGTTTGAATTTTCATTCAACGTTCCATAGGACTGGGCTTTTTCTAGAAGAGCTTCTGTTTTTTTATAAGCACTATGGGTTTGCATGGTCAACCATCCAAGTGTTTACACAATTCCTAGTTGATTAACATTCTTATCGATTCTTTTATAGTTTTATTCCGGAGATAATTCCCCCTCCTGTGCACTCTTATTATTGATTCATTGTGCGTTCATATAAGTAGAAAACAATCAAGCTAAAGTGTCAGCACGTCTCCTCAGTATCCCAAAATTCTAATCAGTAACCTTTTATTTTTTTTATTTTTATTTTAATTTTATTTTATTTTATTTTTTTTGTTTAAATCAAGTTCGCCTGATCTTTATCACAACGTTTCGGCCGTTGTGCCCACCGACCTTCTTCAGGTGTGTACCGCATCGGGTAAACTTCAGGGAACTTCGAACTGGACCCTCTATTTAATCTACGGTGGTAGATTGTTCTCGTTCCGCTGTTCATGATTAGTACACTTCTTGGTTAGACTTTACTGCTTGGATCTAGGATTGAACTCACAATTACTGTAGAAGAATTAGACTCTGTAGAAACAGGGCGAGCAATAATTGAACCATAACAAAATGAACAAGGCCAGATATTCCTAGACCTGAACAGGGGAAACTAGAACAATATACCCTCGCAGATTAAATAAAGGATTCAGTCCGAAATTCCCTGAATGATACCCGGATGGAGAGGTAGTGGAAGAAACGACTGAAATTGTTCTTAAAACGAGAGGACATTCGTCTGAATGGAAATAACGTAAATCTCTTTATACCCAAAATTTAATCATATTACTATTGCTTGAGGTTAATCCCTTGTTTCTTGGTTAGGATTGGGTTTCTGGACCCTTCTAATACCAACTTCAACTCTATACTCCTAACGTCTCCGCTTGAACTCTGAAATTTTATTCACTAATTATTTATATGATTTTTGTCCTTCTCTACCAAGAGGAGTAGATAGGTTCGCCTATCGTCCGGTTCACACTCCTCACCCACAATTCTTTCAGACATGAGAAGGGTTTTACCCTCTGTTTTTCTAGTTAGTATTGGGTTTCCGGTCCCTTCTAATATCAACTTCAACTCTATACTCCTAACGTCTCCTTCTGAACTCTGAAATTTTATTCACTAATTTTTTATATGATATTTTTTCTCCTCTCCCAATAGGAGTAGATTGGTTAACCTATAGTCACACTGCTCACCGATCTTTTGGACAGAAGAAGAGGTTTATCCCTTGTTTCCTGTTTAGGATTGGGTTTCCGGTTCCTTCTAAAGTCCACTTCCACACTATACTTCTAACGTCTAATGATTAAGTGTAGAGGTTTATTCCTTGCTTTCTGTTTAGGATTGAGTTTCCGTTTCCTTCTAAAGTCTACTTCCACACTATACTTCTAACGTCTAATGATTAAGTGTAGAGGTTTATCCCTTGTTTCCTGTTTAGGATTGGGTTTCCGGTTCCTTCTAAAGTCTACTTCCACACTATACTTCTAACGTCTAATGATTAAGTGTAGAGGTTTATCCCTTGTTTCCTGTTTAGGATTGGTTTTCCGGTTCCTTCTAAAGTCCACTTCCACACTATACTTCTAACGTCTAAGGATTAAGTGTTTTATCCCTTGTTTCCTGTTTAGGATTTATTCCTTCTAAAGTTTCCTGTTTCTAACGTCTAAGGATTAAGTGATTTCCGGTTCCTTCTAAAGTCCACTTCCACAATACTTCTAACGTCTTACTTCCCTTGTTTCCTGTTTAGGATTGCTTCCTTCTAAACGTCTTCCAACGTCTTCCACTGCACTGTGAAACGTGAAAGAAGAGATAACAGCTAACTCTCGACTTGAAGAGCTCAAGATATAATTAGTGATTATATCTTGAACTCTTCAAGTCGAGAGTGAGCTGTTATCTCTTCTGCATAGCTCCAAGAACTTCTCTTCTTGCCATTTCTTGGGCTAATACAACACCGCACAGTGACCCTCTACCTTGAGTGACCCTTGAGCCTTATATTTTAAAAGTGTATTTTTTTCCGAATATAAGTTATAGAGTATGACTGGACTAGTAGAAATTGATTGAAATGCTGGACCCCGTCATTTAATACCCATAATAAGAATTAGTTTTAGGTTGATCTGAATTTAAAACAAATTCCATGGGGCCAAATAATCAACAGTTTACCAAATGAAAAAGCCAGATGTTGAAAACGAACTAACATTTCGTTGGTTAGCCGCTGCCATCGGCTCACCAATTTTGTGATAAAGCTTGATAGAGTTAGCGGCGTTAGAACTATACGGAGTATAAATCCCTTGTTTGTAAGAGATTCATCAGCACAGGAAAAATTGCTTTAAATTAACACATATTTTCTTCGGATTGATGCTATCGACGTTGAAATATTGAATAAAATAAAAGTTGTTGCAAGCAAAGCGAGAAATTATTTAGAAGTATTGTTTTGTTTTGTTTTTAATGTGTAATATATCTTTTTTGTAAATGAACACCAAGCTAATGAACTTGTAAAAAAGTGAAAGAAATAAAGAAAAAAAAAAGCGAAAAGTCGTTGTAGGAACAAAAAATAAATAAAAGACATAAAAAAATGGCACAAATTAAATTGGCAGAAAAGGGTTGATTTAGTGATTTTCATTAATTCCCGACGAAATGACGGCTTTCTACAAAAGCTGATTCCCAAATCAGTAGACGCGGATGACATGCGCTGATAGAACCCGAAAAACAACAAAAAAAAAAAAAAAAAAAGAAACAAACAAAAACAATATAAAATAAAGATTCCGCTTCAGTGAACCCGCGTGTGCAATGACCGTGACGTTCGTTAGAAGGACCAATGTTTCTCTAACTGATCTTGTGATGGATACAAGAGAAAGCTGCAAGTGGGGGGAGGGGGAAGGTTTACACCCACTGCCACCCTTGTCTAGATATTCGTGTCATTAGCTAACTAAATGGAGGTGCCAAAGATGATATAGAAGTAATAAACGTTTAAAGAAAAAAAACGATGTCGGAGGCGCAATAAAGGCAGAGGAGTAATTGATAGGGTGGAGAGAAGGAGAAACATGACGGTAAAAAAAAAAAAAAAAAAATGGAAGAATTATTCCCGTGCAAACGATTTGGTACAAACAAAAAAGAGATCAATAATACCAGTGATAAAACCTGCAGATTCAAAGTCAGAAATGAATGAATTATAATAATGGTAATGGGCGAACAAATGACTAAATGGAGAAAGAAGAAAAACATCGTGAGAGGATAAAGTTTTATATCAGACATGTCTTTTGATCGTTTATTTAGATTGGGAGCCATGGGAAAGCTGAAAGTATGATAAACAGTCTTTGACAAGTTTTCATAGCTACAAGCCTAGTAAGACACAAGATCAATGAAGACAAAAAACGTTTAGTAAAATTGTGATGCAAATAGGAAAAGCCTGCCTGTCTTTAATATCGATATTCGAAATTCTGGTTTTTATATGAAACCAGTAAGGTTCTGCACCAGCCACAAAAAAAAAAAAAACACCGGATTCCATTCGATCACCGAAGTTAAGCAGCGTCGAGCCCAGTCATTACTTAGATGAGGAATCGCTTAGAAACAACGGGTACTATATGCACTAAGTATCATTAGTGTCATTTTTAATTCCATTAAGCTAAAATTTTTAAAAAAACTTCATTTTATTCTGTGTGCCGCATATCTTCAAGACATTGGCAATCATGGCTCTCCACAATTTCTTTTCCTTTGTAGCTCTTAGTAAATTTTTTCCTATTTTTCTAAAATTTCTCCTAAACCCTGTTCTGCCATCCATTTACATGACTTCGCTAGGCAGGTTATACGTTGTTTCTTCGGTTCTTCTTGCCTATAATCTGTCCTCTTAATGTTCAATTTTCTAAGCCATCTTTCCTCATTATGTGCTCTAGAAATTTCAACTGTCTCTTTCCGATGTTAAGTAGAAGTCTGCTTGTTTCTATTTTCTCTAAAACTTCATCTTTGCTCACATTTTCGTTTCATCGTATTCTAAATATCATTCTGTGGAACCATATTTCTGTTGCTTCAAGTCTCGTCTTAATCTGTGAGGATTTTGTCCAACGTTCACTGTTATAGACGAGAACTGATATTACGTAACAGTTCAGTAATCTTTTGTTTGTTTCTAAATCGGTAAAGCATTTTCATTCAAATTAACTCGAAAGACGACTGGATTACGTTCGAACACTAGAAATATATAATGCATCCTTTAAGATTTTAAATGATGTCTTAATCGATGGTGATGAAGACAGCGAAAGCAATTCTTGTAATGGGACGCCTGACGAGATTTTTAAAAAAATTCTTTATCTTCGGTCTTTTTTTTTCCTCCTTGCAGTAAATCAGTCTGGGATTCAAGAAAATTCAAAAATGCTAATGAAAGCAATGAAAGTAATGCTTACTAGAGATCGACTGGCGAGATAATTCGCAAGATTTTGATCTTTCAAGACAATTATGATGAAGGAAATGAAAGCAGTGATTGTAATGAAAAGTGTGATGGGATATCCCGCTGATATGACGTCACACAAAAATAACCACTCTCCAGAGTTTTTTTGTGTGACGTCATATTGGGTAGTTATTTTTGCCGCAAGAAGTTGATGTACTTGTCTACGCCGATTTAGAGGTCAAAAGTGAAATCACCGTTGATTATAATGGCAGTATATATAAATGGATGACTAACAAATGTCTTGCCTTTCATTTTGAGGTGAAGAATTATCAAATGTTTTAATTTATTCAGATTATTGTTCTCACCTTACTATTATATCACATCAGCTATCAGACACTTCTTAGTCTCTCATATCAGCCTTTTGCAGTTTATTTAAATCCAGAAAATATTTTTAGAGTGTATGTTTTGTTTTGTTTTTTAGATAATAATGATTTAGTAATACAAGTCATACTAAATAAACCATAGCTGGCGAGAAAAGATATGTATTCATACCTTTCTCAAGGTTATTTGCGCTTAAGTGTATATAACGAACACAACTAGAATTAGAATTCTCCTCTCCGGTTAACAATTCCGAGTCATTATACATTACACCACCCGCACATCCAACCTTATAATAACAGGTATTCCCAAGCAATCACCTATCTAGGTACTGACCATGCCCGACGTTGCTTAACTTCGGTGATCGTACAAGAACTGGTGTTTCAACTTGATATGACCGTAAGCCTCACTGGGGATGGAACGCACAGTACCAGTGCTAGGCAACAGATGCTTTTCTTGAGAGACCCTCTGTACGTACAAGAATTTTTTATATACCCATACAAACGAATATATATGCACCGAATGTTATTATCTTGCACAAATGTATAGCCTGACTGTAGTTGCATGGGCAACTGCATAAGCCTGTCTCGTAAAAGACGCACTGCAACCTTTGCACTACAATCCCACACAAAAGCCAACACCTACGCATAACCATTTCCACATGTATTCACGCAGAACAAGAACAGAAGAAAAAGGGCGCGAAGCCTTCTGGGAGTAATTTAGAAGTGAAACTCGTAAAAAAAAAATTTAGTCTAAATAAAAGATGTGTGAACGTTTAATGAGTTGACAGCTAAGGTTTTTGCGGTTTGTTACTTGACTCTAGAAAGGGTGTGGTTGGATGTCGATTGTTACGTTCCGCGGGAATGTGAGGTGCCTGCACTTTAAAATCCAATTGATTGATAAGTTGATTGTCCTGGGGACAGGTGAAATGAATTTGAGCAAAAACTGCTAATAACAGGGCGCTGTTTATTTCTTTTCATTTGAGCCGGGACTTTTGCTTTATTTCATTTGATAGCAGTTTAGGCTACAACCCCCAAATCCTGAGATTCCGAAAAGAAAAAAAAGGAAATGTCGGGATATCGGAAATATGTGGTGAAAGGAAGAATAATAAGGTTAGATAGATAGATAGAAACTCGAATAGATAGATGATAGATTCGATAGATAGATAGATAGATAGATAGAAACTCGTAACTAGAGAGATGGGCATTCGTTACTACGATAGATAGATAGATAGATAGATAGATAGATAGATAGATATGAACTCGTAAATAAGATAGATAGATAGATAGATAGATAGATAGATAGATATGAACTCGTAAATAAGATAGATAGATAGATAGATAGATAGATATGAACTCGTAAATACGATAGATAGATAGATAGATATATAGATAGATAGATAGATAGATAGATAGATAGATACGAACTCGTAACTAGACACATAGGCATTCGTAACAATGATAGATAGATAGATAGTTAGATAGGAACTCGTAAGTAAGACAGACAGATAGATAGATAGATAGATAGATAGATAGATAGATAGATAGATACGAACTCATAACTAGACAGATAGGCATTTGTAACTACTAAAGATAGATAGATATGAACTCGTAGTTAGCTAGTTATATAGGAACTCGTAACTAAGATAGATAGATAGATAGATAGATAGATAGATAGATAGATAGATAATGTCATGCTTGACAACTTATCACGCCAGACTCTGTTTTACACATATATATCAAGAATCCCGAAATACGCATCAGAAACAACAGACCAGATGTGACAACAATATTCAATGCACAGACGAATTGTAGAGTCTGGTGCATCTGCTGTGTATTTAGACATTCTTGAATGAAGAATCTGCAATGTTATTTGGCTTGACCTGACATTTCGGCTTCAGTCACTTTCCCAACTCCGTAACGTAGCTTAGCTCTGCCCTTTCTATAAATATTTTCATGGTAATTGTTCAGATATGCTTTTCTCTTTGGTGCCTAGACTGAATTTAAGCGGTAAGTTTTCATCATTTTATAATTGAAATGGTCAGATCTAACCGTAAGTTTTATACTAACAGTTTCATTTCTAGAACTTCTCGTTTGTGGAACTATCTTCCGCTTGTTGCCTTCCAGTCAATTTTGGTCTTCAAAAATTTATATGCAATGTTATTTGTTATCTTATGTCTTAATTCCAATGCTTTAATGTTTTGTCTTCTTAATAATGTTTTCTTTTCTTCATATCATTTCACAGTCAGTAATAACCCCTTACGTCTTCGTGGGTTTATTAACTTGCTTGGGATGAAATGATTAAAAAAAGATGTATATATAGGTAAAAAATTTTAAGTTTTTCAAAGTTTACAATGCAACTGCTTTCTCTGAGAGTAAATGAAATTAAGTGGTACGAGGTAACCTGACCTTTAGTCGAAATCAATCTGGCTACCATGGTAATGATCATTTAAATAGCAAAGATAGAGATAAATAAATACAGACTCTTAGATAGATAGATAGATAGATAGATAGATAGATATAGATAGATAGATAGCATATGAAAATGCTAGGATAGATAGATAGATAGATAGATAGATAGATAGATAGATAGATAGATAGATAGATAGATAGCATATGAAAATGCTAGGATAGATAGATAGATAGATAGATAGCATATGAAAATGCTAGGATAGATAGATAGATAGATAGATAGATAGATAGATAGATAGATAGCATATGAAAATGCTAGAATAGATAGATAGATAGATAGATAGATAGATAGATAGATAGATAGATAGCATATGAAAATGCTAGGATAGATAGATAGATAGATGAATGATAGATAGATAGATAGATAGATGGCATATGAAAATGCTAGGATAGATAGATAGATAGATAGATAGATAGATAGATAGAAAGATGAGATAGCATATGAAAATGCTAGGATAGATAGATAGATAGATAGATAGATAGATGAATAGATAGGATAGATGGCATATGATGCTAGGATAGATAGATAGATAGATAGATAGATGGATGGATGAATGGATGGCATGTGAAAATGCTAGGATAGATGGATAGATAGATAGATGGATAGATGGAATGCTGGGATAGATAGATAGATAGATAGATAGATAGATAGATAGATAGATGATGATAAATGCTATGGATAGATAGATAGATAGCATATGAAAATGCTAGGATAGATAGATAGATAGATAGATAGATAGATAGATAGATAGATAGATAGATAGCATATGAACATACTTAGATAGATAGATAGATAATGAACAGACAAAGAAAGAAAGAAAGAAAGAAAGAAAGAAAGGAAATGAGCAGACTGATAGATAGATAGATCAGATTGAAATTAGATAGATACAGGGTGAGATGAGTAAATTGTCGCCATTTTATATTTTTAATTTCGTGTATGCGCGTTGTTTATTTTTTATTGTGTCGATTGCACAGTATGTTAAGGTCAGTTGGGCAGCGTCTGTGAGAAAAAGTGCACCATGACGCAATTCATTCCGCCAGAAATTTGGAAATGGCCGTACGACTTGCCATTCACGCCGAAAGCTCCGATATGAACATTTCAGAGTGTTTGAGTGTCATTTTGAGGACAGTGCAGAGGATTCGGTAAGAGTTGGATCGGTCTAATGGTGATTACGAAAGTGTTTGGAGTGATCACTAGTGATGGCGACGCTATGCATCCATTCTTCTTCCCACAGGGCCTCACTCAACATGGGGACCTACATCAAGTGTCTTGAAGGGTTAGTGTTGCCCTGGGTCAAGAGGGTGGCTGCTTGAAAACTCTATGACTGAAAACAGGACTCTGCACCATGCCACACAAACATAACCTAGTCATGTCAGACAATTTCTGAGACAACATCATCCTTTACATCTGGTCACTTAACTCTTGAAACTGAAACACCCTTTATTATAATTTCAGCGGAAGACCAACACCTTGTAACACCTTTAACATCAATAATGGACTGAACGCAAGGATTATGGCAGGATACACCAACTTAAACACGGAGACTGTCCAAAAGATCTGCAGGAGATTCCGAAGTAGGCTGAAGGCCGTGTTTGAAGCAAATGGTGATTTTCCTGAATAGATTTACTCTTTAGTATTTCAAGATATATTGTGTAATTTTGGTAAATATATCTATTAAAATAAGATGTCAGTGTTATTTTCAGTTTTGTGTAATTTAGACGACAATTTATCTATTTCACCCTGTAATTAGATTGAACCGATTGAAATACGATAAACAGATAAATAGGTAGATAGATACAACAGATTGAAATTAAATAGATAGATTAAGAAATAGGTTGAGAGAACAGATTTAAATTAGATAGAAATGATTGAAATTAGATAGATAGATAGATAGATAGATAGATAGATAGATAGGAAGTAAAGAAGGAAGGATAGGATAGGATATGATATCTAAGTTATTGAAATAATGATCTAGCCCCTTTGTCTGTAAGGGGAATTTAGTAGTGCGGGGTTAATTTTGGGGAGACATGCTGAAATCGACCTGGCTCCTGTCGGAATTACCGGAGAGATCGCTAACAGAGAAAGATTGACTGATGTACGAGGGAAAATCAAAAATCATCGGCACACTTGTAAAAAATACGTTATGGCGAAAGTGCGGATAAGCTTTTACTTACTCTCGTATAAACAGGAAGTAATATACAATCCGGAAGCTCGATAATTACTGCTAAACACTCAAATAAATACATACGTACGTATCATATATTTTCCAAATCGTAAATGAACAATACTATTTACTTTAATTTACTAAACTGTGCGTAGGGGTAGTTATTATTGGGTCAGAAAATGGAATCAACAAGCCGTGTTCAAATTCCAAGCTAGTCAATCGCATTCAATTTCGCACCACTTTCCTTGGGAATGGCACGAGTACATCTCTTCTCCCTCCAGCTATGCTTTAAACATCAGAGTAGACTGGGATCTCTAGCCTTGAGTGATAACCAATTTGCGAGAATAAAAGTCTGTCTTCCAGACAGACTTGTATTCTCGCTATCCTCCATTTTATGGAGGGGACGCGGGAATCGGGTCGACAGACGAGTCTGCACTAAACGTCCGTGTCATGGGGGGCTAGGAATGCCGCACCTGCCAAATCACATCCGTGCCTCTAGGTTGGCTTTCCTACGCCGCGCATTGACTGGAGGAGATCCGATTCTGGAGGGGATTGTTAGGGACGCGTTCCCTGGCCTTACCATCAGTCCCCCCATCTCGCGGGTTGAGCGCGGTCGTAAACCCCGGGATCAATCGGTTTTCCTTCGCGAGTGTCGGTCGGCCTTGAGGGCCGTTCCCCGGTCCAGTGACCTTTCTCGGCCTAGGAAGGTCTTCTATCGTGAATTAGTGGAGAGGCCCGCGAAGGATCCCCTACGAGATATGCTCGGCATGTCGGAGGAGTTTCGCTCCTACTGTTCTTGGGCGCCAGCGGCGGATTACCTCAGTAACCCTGAGTTTTCGCTTAGCTGGCGATTGGCTCGGAATCGGCTGCCTGTCAACGACAAGGCTTTCATATGGGGCTTGGCGGATTTGCCAGACTGTGAACGGTGTGGCCTTGGCTTAGAAGAAACGGCTGCGCACGCCTTCTACCATTGCCCCCAGGTCCGCCCCTTATGGGACCATGTCGGCGAGCTGACGGCTCGTCTCGCTCCCGAACAGCTTGTGTCCATTGATCGCGCATACGCGTGTGACAATGTGTCGCCCCCGTATTCCGGGATGAAACGGATGGTGTTTCTAACGCTGATGGCCACGGCTCGAATGGTGATTTGGACGACGCGAAAGGAGGAAGTCTTGCGAGGCAATCGTCTTTCTCATTCGGATCTAATTCGATTCTTTGAGCATCAGCTCAAGATGAAGATTAGATCGGATAGAAAACGATTGCATTCGACAGTCTTTAGCGAAAGGTGGGTAAAAAGAAGCGAGTTTGCTTCGTGTGAACAGGGGCTAGCCTTGATTTTTCTCTTCTAGGTCAACCTATTGCACATCAGGGTGGCTTCCTGTGAAACCCCTCCCCTGGTTAGGTTAGACAAGCTTCAGTGTACCTAGTTAATGTGAGTAAGTGTTGTTCCTGGCCTGCATCACGGCCGTTCTTTTTATTATGATCCAAGTCGAGATTCCCAACCTCCCCAGTTTGTTTTGACCCCCCCTTTCATCTCGACTGGGTCAGTTTTATATTTTCCCATTCCAGCCTAATATTTTATACTTTTTCCCACTCCCTTAGCGTCTCTTGATTTTGTCCCCTGGGCAGAATACAACGGTCTTTCTGTTTTATGGGTTGGACGGTCCCTACTAACATCAATTATGTTTAGTTTGTATTTGTGTTTATTTTAAGTTTATTATTGGGTTCATTTCCCTCCCCTCTCATTTTATCATTATTAGAATTGTATATATATATATCATCATTAAAATTTTTATGGTAGGTCTCCCTTGAGAGGACGTGGTATCATGGTGGTTGAAGGATTGTTTGGTGATGGACGAGTTCTTTTGGTGAATGGGTGAAATGTAATGTACGAATGGGTCGCGAATCTGATTAGCTACGTATAAGATAGTTAGTGTTGACCAGCCTCTACCCCTCCCCTTTATTGGCCTTGTGCCACAATTTGTACTTTTTGCACGAATAAATAACAGTCTGTCTTCCAAATCAGGGAAAAGGCAACAGCAAACCACTATCCTTTCCAACA